GAATTCCGCAAATGACTCATCCTCGTACACGCGATGATCATCCCCACATCGAAAAACTCCTTCCTCACCATCGGCCGAGCTGCACACGGTAATTGTCATCGAGCACGCGACCCCCGCAAATACATGAGGGGGCGGCCAGGGGTGAAAAAATGCGTGAGAAAGTGAGTAATCGGGGAAATGCACTCGATAATAAATGCTTCAGTCCATTTCCAATTCCCCGGGAATTCTACTGGAATGTTTTCTCTTCCTATCCTACACGATAATTTTTTTACCCCCTTTTTTTATGCCTGAAGGCCGACAGTAAGGAGGAATTTTCGTACAGACAAAGATGGACAAAGGAAAAATAAGAAAAGTTCCTCGGGTTACTGTCTGGAAGACCGTTCTCGTTTTACATTCGGAATCACGGGGGCAAGGATTTGCGCAGAAATTCAAAACCTATACCCCACCAATGACGTAACAATGGTTAGTACTGGGGAAACTCCTTCCGCCCACAATAGTCGACCCTATCTGGACTTTTCCATCTGGACCATTCGATTTTTTACATTTTTTTTGTGGCCATTTGGATGTGAACGACATGCTTTGCTTCAAAATTCAGTTCAAAGATTTTATCCGCGATTTTCAATGTTTCTTGAATCATTCGTATGATAAATCGCTTCATTAAATAATCATCAATATTTTCGGGAAAAAATTTGAATTAAAATTGAATATTTCTGGGAAGAGGAGAATATTTTCCTGACGTTGATTATGTTTGACAGCTTCCGTATAGTTTTCTCCCACCACTCACCTTTTCATTTCATTTTTTCTTGTAAATCTTTTCTATTTTTTTTTTTTTTTGGGCCACCCGGACCTACATCTCTCCCCCGGAGGCTGAATGCATTGTGAATAGCATCCTCTAACGGCTTATTAAAATAGTGAATAGTAAATCTCGAATTAATGGACGAAATGATGAAAAATTCTTCTTCCTCAGCAAACACAATAAGACACCTTCTTTTACGCTTTTTAACCATGAACATTCAATTCTGATGTTACCGACGACTATCGAAAATGTGTAACAACTGAGAACTAAACTATAGGTATTATTATTGATGGTGGTTTCGCAAATTACCGTGTATCCCTGACTCATCGTTGTCGGTGGGCATCTGGCGCCTGAAATATACAGTGCACGGAACGCGTGCCACCGCGAGCATTGCGTGTGTGTAAACCCCAGTATTTCATTTCGTGAAATCGAAGCGCCACAGGTTATGGGGAGTCTGGACAGTCTAATAGAGGCGTGAAGTGCACGAGTTGGTCGGAATCATCATCAGGAAATTAACACAATTGTCCTCGTATCAATCATCTGTAATAGAAGGGGAAAATTCTCACTCCACTGGATTGTTTCATGAATTTAATAAAATGATGCTAGAACAATCAGTTACAGTTGCATGTTGGATATGTTGCGCCTCATTTAATTTCCAGCTAAAAAAAATTGTCAACATGCCAATTGTGACGAAAAATAATTAGCAATCACGATGCCAAATTTATTCGACCCTATAGTTGGTCTCGGCTGTTGGGACATTAGTGAATAAAATGAATAAAGAAAAATTGAATTTTCTCTTGGGTAATAATCTTGACAATTGAATGGGCCCATTCTCCGGTGAACTCTGCCATTATTATCCCAAAGGATTCTTTTGTCATCAGATTGATAGTTAAAAAAAACCAGAAGACGCTGATTTTTTTCCTTCTCGATAACAGGGCGCAATTAAATTAATATCCAAGAATGTTATGAGGGCCTGTCTTGGTAAGCATCGAGACATTATGCAAGACTTGTCGTATTATCCTTGAGATTGAAATTCTTCTTAGGAGGGTAGGGAATAAAAAATAAACCTCCGTCCGCATAACAATTGAAAGCCTTCCGACATCGCACGCCGTGTCTTCTGACGCTGATAGAATGACGTGAAGCGATCGTTACCCAGGGGCGAGTCTCAGAGAGTAACGACGACACTAACGACCCTCCGCGTACCCTTCTCGATTGAGATTTCATGGCGATCTTTTTATACACCTCCTCCCCCAATCTCAATATTTTTTTTATACCTGCTACTCTCGAGTTCTCCACAATTTATGTAATGTAATTGGATAAAACATCCCTTTTTAATTTTTTAACATTTTAATGAGTGAGGAAGGAAAAAATAAACCGATAAACTTGTGGGTTCGACTATAAAATAGTTCCTTATTTAGCCCTGGGGTTTGGCAGCTCGAACGAACGTAAATTCACTCGTAAAAAAAACTGCGGTGACCTTGGGCTTTAAAAAGTTTGCCGGGGAAAATGGTCGTAAAATCATGATCACTTGTGGGGATTTTTCAATGGAGAAACTTTTTTTGTCTAGGTTTTTCGGCGATTCCGTCGATCCTATTGGTAGTCCCTTGAGAAATTTCATTATCGTGTCATCGAAAGAGGAGAACGATTCTAGTTTTATTCATTAATCATTGCTCGGTCTTGCTGACATAAGGTGCATTTCCAAATGTAAAATTTTCCGGTCAGTTTTGGAACACAACCCCATATATTCTTGCGTAATAAAAAATGAACCGCAGACCGTTTCTTTACGGATTCTGGGAAGGATTTTCTCGACTTGCCCACAGTACTCGGGAGTTAATTGTGACATCTGTAGGGGCTTCAAGTTTTTTACGCTTCTGGAGGAATTTAAGTTCAACTGGCGAGGGAAAGGTTCTCCTTTCGGGTTGAAAACCGAGTGGTTGGCCCGAGACTAACGATCCGCGATTTCTCGGTGAGTTAAAGGTTTCGATCTTATTTCTTTGAGCCACCCAGAAGCTGTTATAGGTCTACACTGTTGGAAATTTAATGAAATTTAAGGGACATTATTGTCGTGAAAATTTGAGATTTTTTTTCTCTCACGTGGAGTGGACATGGGATTAAATGGCAAATAGTTTGACGATTCAATTTTAATTTTCGCGAAAACCAAAGGGGTTCGCAGTCAATTGCTGAGAAAATTTATCCTCATTTCAATTTCCTGCCAGTGAATGAAAAAAGACAATTGTAAATTTCCCAATTTTCTTTTCATCACTCTCCAAGAATTTCCCTTTCTATGATGACGTAATCATTGGTTGGAGCACTCAGCACCGGTGTAAAATTGATAATAATCTCCTTGCAACCCGCCGGAGCATACGGTCTCCATCCTTGCCACATTCTCTCCTCGTCTCCTCGTGTCCCCAAATGTTACGGAAATTCGCGTGAAAATGTACATTTTGAACGGACAAAAATCGTTAAACGACTCAGCATGAGAGCAAGGATTTATGACAACAGCATGGCTCCTTCTGGTCACTGCGAGCGAACAAGAGGAGAGGACCAGGGTACTGTTGGCGCGCGTGGAATGAAAAACACTAAAGTCGGCACCATTTATCTCGAGTGTCACTCCTTGAGAAACGAAACTTTCACCCGTACAATGTCAAACGCACATTTTTCCTGGGAGTTTGGACAGTGCAAATGCTCAGCGGGAGCGATCATGCTCACTGGTGGCATCTCATTCATGAAAATCCAGCCCCCGCACGAGTCTCTCAGACCAATGAGTTTGTTAAATTGTCCAAGTACAAGAACCCTTCCATTTTTCGTTTTCAATTTATCATTTGGCACAAGACGCATTGGAATACTTTAGTGGATACATCATTATGTGCTACACGTGTCTTTTTAAAAAAAAATGTTTTTTCTTTAATTTTTGGTGAGTTTTTTTTCTTTTTATCATCATTTTTTTTAGAAATCACCTCAGAATTTATACGTTAAAGGAAAAAAAACTTGTTCTATTCAATGACAATATTCATCGTTCAAGTTAATTCTCTCGGTCAACAAAGGGTTGCTGCAGAGGACTGAAGTAACTCCCATAATCTACGGAACGAATGATTCAGATGCGTAACTAACTCGCAACCTGGCTACTCACGGTAACCTTCCAGTTTATTGTACAAAGAAATTCTCGGATGTCATCCACTCTCGGTGCACGATATATCATCGTACATTGAGTGCACTTCATCTGGATTCATGATGAACGGTGTTATGCTAGTTTCAACAGTCTATGGGGTTAAGAGGTGAATTTCCATGGAGATCATCGAGCTCGAGAGACCCCTTTTGGTCAGTTATTTGTCAAAAGAGATCCGGAAAATTTTTTTTTCCAAAATTTCTGAAGGTCCTTTCAACGTTGACCTCTCAATAGAAATTGTCAAATGTCAGTTTTTATGGCGAATCGACTCTTTGCACTGATGGAGAAGGAAAATTGACAATTTTACTTCTTTCGAATTTTCGTTGAATGGAAATTCGACTGATTTCTTTCTCTGATTTTTCGAAAAATCGAAGAAGGGAACAACTGTTTTTCGTTCGGTCCACAAGGAGGAAAAAAACAGGGGACTTGTTGGGATCTGAGACTGTCTCCCTTTGAATCCTTTTTTTGCACTGCAGTTGCACCCTCATGCGGGGGAGGTGGACCCAGTGGAAATTTATCGTTTCCTGTGCATGGTGCGAAGAGAGAAAAGGACTCACCCATTCGCTTCGGTTAGCGTCTAAAAAGTCAGCCCAACGTAATTCAACTCACTGAGGATATATAATTTGTAGTTTAAAAAGGAAAAAGTGTTATACGATTATGTAAAGGCGTGATGAAGAGAAAACCTTCAAATTTCATGAAAAAAAATGTGAATCGCACTGAGGATTCGCAATCGACAGCGAATGACGTAAAGGCATATGCAGACGGAGTGATAATGATGCGTGAAAAAAAAATCCGGGATTGAAGTCGAAGTCGTAAATTTCATTAGAACAGGTCAAATGAATATTTCAAGACATTACGGAGCAGTGGAGATTGACTACGGAATGATAGAATTGGGCAAGAAATTGGATATCGATCCCATTCAGTGGAATTCGAATAAGAAATAATCTCCAGTAATGATAGGAAAATTAAATTGGCAGTGGATCATTAAAGATGTACCCCATTACTGAGTAATTGAAATCTCACTTAAGGATACAGAGATTATCGAGAATAGTGTTCACTTCATGTTCTCCGATACAAGCATCCTTTATTGAATCTCACTTGTGAATAAAGCAAATGTAACAGATTCGGAACGTCAATTCTATCGTAGCAATAATGATTGTCTCAGTGAGGAAAAGTACCTTCTGTATGCTATTATTGTTGATACATATCAGTTTCTCAGCTTTGATAGATCTTCTTCGAATCCCACAAGTGCGAACACCTGCTGATGCCAATGGAGCTGAATATTACGCACTAGATTTTGTAAGTCGAAAATTTTGAAATTTTTGTGTATTTGCGAGTAATATATTATTAACGTGCATTTCGTTCGAATTCTCGTGGGTACACAATCAGATGGGTTTAGTTGAACAATACGGATATCGAGCAGAGACTCACGACGTCACCACTGACGATGGCTACATATTAACAATAGGTAGAGTGTTTCCAAATGTAATTGATCCCAATGAATCTGATGGACATCCAGCCGTATTTCTTCAGCACGGAATGGCAGATACAGCTGACAGTTTCGTGCTATTTGGTCCCAATATGAGCCTTGGTAAATTGATTAAAGTGTGCATGAGAGGAATATATTCTATTGAAATTTACTCAAAAATCATTACTCGATTTTAAAAGTGCTTTTTCGATAGTTATTTTTCTCCGTATCAACTTCACTTGGCTAGGAAGCACTAATTATCATTTAAAAACTTGTAGCATATGTACTATCGGATGCTGGTTACGACGTTTGGCTCGGTAATCTTCGGGGAAACACTTTCAGCCGTAGGCATACCACTTTATCCCCAGATGATTCACAATTTTGGGATTTTAGGTATGGATACCTCTGTCGAAATTTCCATTCCGATGATCAAATATTTTCAATATGACATCACAGTCTAGATGAATATGCAACATTGGACTTACCCGCGATGACAGACTACGTGTTGAATTACACCAAGCAATTGTCAATGACATACGTAGGGTATTCCATCGGAGCCACCATAGTGTCACTCTTGCTCGCCGAAAGACCAGAGTACAATGAGAAAATAGACTTGGCAATGCTCCTGGCTCCCCTGTGCCCCTGGAAAACTCTGACTCCAGCGAGACGCGCGCTAATTCGATTGATCCGATTAGGGAAAGAGGTGACACCCAATGGAGCAACTGAAATGTCTTCTCAGACTATATTGTTACCGCTCTTCTTCGAGAATGTTTGCATGGCCAATAATTACACAACAATTACAATGTTTTGCTATTCTCCTCTGAGATTCTTCCTCGGGGTAGATGGGATACAATCTACTGTTGTGAGTATCTCCAGAAATGCTAATAGTGAAGATGACAACAGAACGATTTTATTTCGCAGGAAAATATGAATCTCTTCACGAGATACTATCCCGCTGGCACGTCAGTGAAAGTTGCCTATTATCTTCTGCAACAATTGGATTCAGGTAATCAATTCTAAATTATGAAAATAAGATAAATCATCAATTTTGTGAATTAACTGATCTCATATCACATTGGAGCATTGAAAATGCCTTGAATTGCGAAAAATTTTTGAATTTACATTTATTTAGGTATAACTCCACGTCATTTTGATTACGAAGACAGTCGCATCAATCTCCAACGTTACGGACAAAGCCAGCCGCCAATTTATAATTTGAGCAATATCATCACACCAATGGTGCTGTTTTCTGCTCCCAACGATCCGTTAGCGCTGAAGAAAGATGTTGACCAGTACAAAAAAAACTTCGTGAATGTTAAGAAGTTGATAGATGTACCCATTAATTATACTGACTTCAGTCACTTGGATTTTGTAACTGCTAAAGATGCGAAGAAATTGGTATACAATCGATTGTTAGAAATTCTCAACGAATTTCACAGAAAAGGACGATCACTTGTGACTTGAGGAAAATTGTTGAATAAATTTTCGAGAAGAATAAGGATTCGTATGATGCTCTTTTTATAAAATCACTATAAAAATGTGAGGCATGAATAGAATCTGATATATGAGGAAAGAAAATCGAATAAGTCTCAGAGTACAATTTGAATAGGAAAGTAAAAGCTAAAGGAGAAAAGGGTGGGAGGAAAATAGAAAACTCGTGTATGCATCGACCGGACGTTGGAGGGACGGCCAGAGAGAAAATAAGGGAAAAGGTTGAGAGGGTGGTAACCTTTTTTCCAACATAGAAATATACATAAGGGTCGCGCAAAAATATCAAAGGCACGACAGGGAAATTGAAAGGCTTTGTACGGAAATAAGAATGTATCGACTGGTACCGACATCCACTCACCCCGGACACGATTTTTAAATCTCGAGTTTCGGTGCTCCTCTCAAACGTTATATCTCACATATTATATGTGTATACACGCAGAGCTTCGGGGAGAAAAAAGATACATTTGAGTATACCACGCGAGGGGGTTCTCACTCTCTCTCCTAGTGATAAAGAATATGAGAATATGCTTCGGATGATTCACTGATCTCGACTTTCGTCGGATTTATTTTTATGATAGACCGTGGCATATATATGTTTCCGTTAACCCACTGAGGAGAGGAAAATAATCTTAGCATTGGAAATGATTTCACCAGATTCTGACTATTCCCGATTTGTTCAAATATTTTCAAATAAAAATTTTATCGTTTTAAAGGTTGAGGTCATTATTCCATTTTTTAAAAAATCTATTTTTGTTGTAGACTGAAATGCAAAGATGCTTTTCCCACGAGTCAGAAGTACCTGTTCCAGCAAAGTATTGTGAAAATGATTTAATCTCGTTAAATCCCAACCGATTTCGAGAGACGCATCGAACCCTTTTCTCCTTCTGTTGTACGACATGAAGGACCCCGCTCCGAAAATAGTCTGGCGAAAGGATCTAAAGCGGAAGTGATTTGTATGGACTTTGCGAATAGAGTATTAGCACCAATTAGGACAGAATTGTCGAGATTGAATAATGGAGACTGACACGCGGGTAACTCGAGTCCTGCATCCGTCTGAGAAGCGATATATGGGAGCCCGAAATTCGACGCTAGAATCGAGTAATCCGGTTAAATCTCAGGTTATTTCCAAAAATATATAAACGTGAATTGATTGGGTTTCTTGAATAACTCGCTCTATTCTTTACTTTCGAGTGGAGTTGATCCGTTTCGGAACCTAGCGTGATGTTAAATCTCTCTAATGCAGGAAGACAATTAAAAGTCGAGGGAAATTGAAAACTCATGTTTGTTTTATGTTGTTTCGAAACACAGCTGGTGATGATTTCCCTTCGACATTTTTCCTGCACCGGCAGACGCTACGGCCACGTGTCATCGAACAGTTTTTGTCAACCGACTAATTAGGGGATATTGGAGTTACCGGATACTCTGGCACATTTCGATAAAATACGAGGCGTCTCTTATCGATCGGTTTTCATGTGACAGCTCACCTATATAAAAAAAACAAGATCGTCTGCTATTCGAGCGTTAAAAAAAATCTAAACAGAAATAATTCAAAGGTTATTTTTAATCCTCGAGATATTTATCAAAATCTACTGGCCAAAAATGTACATGTCTGCCGAAAATTTCGCACAACTTCAGGAGACTGAAATTCCCATTTAGTTGCCTTTTTTACTGTACGGATTATCTGAATCCACCATTTGATGCCCATAAACATAACACAATTAGTAAAAGTACCCATTAGAATAATACTCCCTCCCAAATGACTCACAAATAACTATCTGAGGACTATTCTCTCCCCCGCTCACAGTGATACAGAATGTTATCATATGGAATACTTTGAAAATGGGAAATACCTCATAAAGAAAAAAGGGTAGACATCAATATGGTCCTCTGTCGCGACGCGGGGAGATTAAAAAAAAAAAGAATTTCCAGTGGCAGAGCTTGTTATAGTTTCATTAAAAATAAAACTAAATTGGAAAATTCATCGAAATAGTTTTTTTTTTGTTTAATATCTTCATCTCTTGAGGGAAGGAAAAAGCAATTTAATGAACACTCTTGTTATTGCAATCTATTAATACAAAACAAATTTGATTAAATAACTTGAGATACTTGTTAGTGGAAAATGAAATAGGGACTTTCTGGTGAGTTCGTTAAGTGAGAGAAATTGCCTGTAATTTGGGTAATTTTAAATGTCTTCCAATATAACAGCTAATGGTCCATAACAATCGTTTGACACATTCGACGCTTGTGCCGAATGTCAAACACTTTTCAACTCTTCGTTTCTTCCTCACCCACTCGGTCGTTAAAACCCGATGACATGCTATCTCTCAGACTCGTAAGGTTGATACCGGTTCCTTTTTTCCAAAATATCACCAAATGGAATGAGCTTTTAAAATGGAAGGGGCGCGTGTAAAGAGTCATGGTAAAATATTGCATAGAGAAAAAGCCTTTTAGTTTAACCGGCTGTTGGAGACGCACTAAACGAATACCAACCACTCCCACTGGCTATTAAAGATGATACAATAACACCACATTTTTCTGGAGGAAAAGAGTTTTGAGGGTTCGATTGGGGGAGACTTGTCTCATTTTCATTTTTATGGGATTTTAATTGTTATTTTTTCGGGTTAAGGAGTGAAAAGTTATGTGCCCTATAAACTTATATTACTTTTTCAGAAGTAAAATCAGTGCAACTTTCTATTTGTGTATTTTCATTGTTAAACATTAGGCTTCTATTCATGAATTAAATTTTTTTTAGCCCTTGTGGATAATCATATTATTCTCATCATGTCATATAAAATCTATCTATGGGCGTTCTCTCCATCAAAATTGTTCCGATTGATGGGCAAAAGTCGGTCATTTACATTTTCATGTATTTTTAATGGTTTTCCTTTTCATAGGTTTGGAATCCTGTTTCGTATCAGGAATATTAATTTACGGAGGGGACTGGCAGTTTCAATGACAAATGGAAATAGTACTACGCCTCTTTATTATAATTATTGGGGTTAAAATTTGATGAAGGGTTTCTTAATGCTAACATGGAAAACCTCACACGAAACTAATGTTTGAATTAAATTATTTACTTTGATGAGGTGTCGATAAAGGGGTAATTATGGAAATTGTGGTTGAAGGCACCTGGTGAACGGGGAATATAGTTATTCCGGGACGTGAACGTGTTTTGATCGCTTTGGGGAGATATATGACCCTCGTAGCGATGAAAGGATTGATCAACTGAGGGTCAATTAACCTAAATGTTCATTGGGTAATTAGTTGACATGCGTGTTTCAAGTTGTGAGCATGATTGAATAACTTCAGAATTGAATGTAACACACGGGAATGATATCAAAAGGTTGTTTATTTGATTGAATGCGTCTCTAATCGTCGAGGAAGTGAGGGAATTTGGGCGGCTAGGCCTGTTTTCCATTTTCGGGTTCTAATATCTAGAGGGAGTTTTTTCTTCTTGAAAATGTGTGGGAGAAAAAAAAGGTGCACTTGGAGGAATGACGGAAGCAAGTTTTCGATGCACTCACCAGCCCCATTGGGCCCTGAGATTTGTTACCCTTGGGTACGGAAGTTGCCTGACATTATGGACCAGTGATATTCACATTCTTTCGTAACTTTTAATATCGCAGTGAAAAAGAATAAAGAAAAAGATCATTTTTCAAAATTATCTCGTTCAACGAGAATTAAACCCCCACTTAGACCACTGTCGTGACAATTTTCACCTTGGGAGTTGCGGTGGAGACTCGAGTTGCAAACAAATTATTCATAAAAACGTCTCACTGCCGCACCTTTGACACCGCCCCAATTAATTTTGCGCAGTCTCACGTGTATCACTTCGTATGGATAATTAACATTTAATGAATGAACTTCATTCATTATATTCATTGATTTCTATCGGGAATTTTAGGGGTTGTTGTGGGGGTGTAAATCCCTTCCGTGCACTAAACCTCCGGTGCATCCCAGCACGTCCGTCCTCGGGAAAATGACCGGAAAGAGCGGTGGATGAGGGTGTGGTGGCTGCAGGTTTCCGACGGCCACACATGACACCCCGTGTGAAAGTTTTGCGTCGTGTGGATCCTACCTACCTCGCAACGTAGCCTCTTTTCCCACTTTTTTCCGGCCAGGCCGTGGCCACTGAAGATGGAGGTCCCCATGTTATTTTTTTTTCCTCCACTGAGTCCCTCTCTCTCCCTCTCGCCCACCATTCAGGGGATCGATTACCACTCTTTCACCCCTCGAGGGAATCTCCCTTGGACACTACTTCGGAAATACGTGCCAAGTTAAATAAACAAATTCATTGGAGGGCTACTGATGGGGAAGGAGAGTGGACGCTTCCGTGGTCTTGAGAAAACGAAATTACGTGTGTTCTTCACAGGGTTTTTCCGCTTCCGAAACATATGGTTGTGGGTTAGCAGGCTTGTCCGATGGAGGTTATGAGCTTCTTGGGAATAATTTACCACTTTTCAGGGTCAGAATGGAGAGCTAATCGTTGGGATAAATACCCTACGTATTTTCTTCATTTTTTTTAAAATGAAAACTATTTCTTTCTTTCATATTATTGGAAAGATTTTTTTTTCATCTTTCTGCTGTAAGGAGAATAAATATTTTTCATTTTTTCAATGGGTGAAATGGTCTGAACACTTTGGATTGAGTTTCAAGTTGGGAAACCCCTGTGGAAAGAGTTTTTTCGAGTAGGAAATGACCGGAAGTGTAGGAGGTATGGGCGGTTACAGGGCGATCCCAGCGGTTTTAATGGTTTCTTAAAAAAAAGGAAAAAACGTTCGTTTGAACGATGGAAACGTAAAAAAAGTGCCCCGTGTGTCCGGCCTTTTCCCCAAAGTGTGCAAAAAAATGGGGCAAAAAAGGTAGCATTGCCCAAAGAATCCTCTCTCATGACGTATTTGTTGAACATATTTTCCGACTTTACATTCCTAATGCAGAACGCTGAATTCTAGTGGAGGAATTTTTATCGCGATTGGCTGTGCTCTTCTCTCTT